CTATATTTTCTGGAGACAGGAGACCTCAACAAGATCCCCCAGCCAAATACTCTTTTGGAAATGAACAAGGAATGATACATGGCATCCTTTCATCCACTTTAATCCGTTAGCATGTACAGCCCATGGCACAAATTCTCAACTGAGTCCAAATCTCACTAGCTCACATAAATTGATGGTGTAGGGAATGCAGAGTCTTCAATTTGAGTCAGAAATAAAAAAAAAAAAAAAAGCAAGTCCGAGGATTCAGTCATTAAATCAGTTCATAAGCACTTGCTTGGGTTTTGCAAAAAGAAAAAAAAGTCATAAAAGGGAAAAAAAAACTTTTAAGGATACCCGCAATTAGAAAAAGAGTCCTTTCTAATCAGATTGGAAAAGGAAATCAGACCTTTAGATCAGGGGTGTCAAACTCGATTTCATTGAGGGCCGCATCAGGGTTAGGTTTGACCTTGGAGGACCTGGGGGTGTGTATGGCTGGGGGTGGGGCTATGGCAGGTGTGGCTGGGGCATGGCCATGGTGGATGTGGCACAGAACCTGTGCCTGGGGGGCACCTGTGTTAGCCAAGTGCTAAGGCAGGACTTCCCTGAGACCCCCCCTCACTCTCATTATAATCTCCTCCTCCCTCCCTTCCTTTTCTTCTTCTTCCTTCCCCTCTTTTCCCTTCCTTGTTCTCTTGCCATCTTTCCTTCTTTTTCTTTGTCTTTCCTTCTTCTCTTTCTTTTTTTCCTGTCCCATCTTGCATGCTCGAATGCAAAAGGGGACACGTTTCTCCTTTCGTTTTGTTTTTAGTTTATTTTGATAGCCCTCTCTCAGCAACCCCCCCCCCCTCCATTTTCACTAGCAGGGGCATTGTGGACCATTTCTTTGCTGTTTCCGGACCAGTCCCATGGGCCAGATCTAACCACTGCGGGCCAGAACTGGCCCCCGGGCACTGAGTTTGACACCCCTGCTTTAGACAGTAGGTTCAGTAAAAGTGATCTAAATGGTATGGCTATATTGTTCCACACATCATAGGATTTGATGTGGAGGATTTGTTGTGAATGAGCTTTCTTGGCCTCAGGCGACAGAAAGCAGGAAAAGTTGGCAAGATTACCAACTTGGATAGCAATTGAACAACTGGCATATTCATTTAATAGCTTGATTTTAACTCCTCCTCCAACTCCCCTCCTCTTATTTTATTGTATACTGGTGTAGGCTTTCATGGTGAGCATCTATCAAGCAATGATAATCTTGTGGGATGAGTAGTCATGATCTAGTTTTATAAGTATCTGACAGTTTTTGTTGCTTTGTAATCCCATGCAATATGCAGTCTGCTCTTATTATAACAAGAGGGATCCAAAACTGCATATGCTGTAGGCATCCACTCCAGAGGTGGTATTCAGCAGGTTCTGACCGGTTCTGGAGAGCCGGTAGTGGAAATGTTGAGTAGTTCGGAGAACCGGCAAATCCCACCTCTGACTGGAGATTTTACATATCCTTCCCCTGCCACGCCCACCAAGCCACAGAACCGGTAGTAAAATTTTTTGAATCCCACCACTGATCCACTCTGCTAACAGTCTCCGAACCTGCAAATGCAGAGATATGTCTCTTATACACCACACTTTAACTTTGAAACTCTGGTTCGGATTAATAATCCAGTGTATTTTTAGAGCTCCCTGGAAATTCCATGTCCACTCTTTTTCCCCTTTCAAATGTCATTCTTTGGATGAATAATACTGATGTTTGGAAGGATGTATACAGGTCCAAAAGAATGGTGGCCAATAGTGTAAAACGGATCAGAAATTCCGTGGGGTTAGTTAATTCGATAATACCTACTTTTTCATGAAGAATTTCTAGAAGAAAAGCAGGCAGAGCTGGAAGGCAGAGTTAAATGCATCATCAGTTTAATCCCAAAGGTGGTTCCGCCCCCACCCCCCACCCCCACCAAAAAGGCAACTGGACTTTTGTCCTTTCATCAAGAAAGTCCAGCTGCCTTTTGGAAAAATCACCTTTGGGGCAACCCTGACTTGAATGGTTGAGTATCTCCATAGACGTCATCAATTTATTCCCTGCATTTCCACAAGAGGCTCAAGTCCAGCCTCCTTGAATTTCATTGACTCTTAATTAGGACCAGTTTAGGGCTGACCGTTAATTGACTAGATTCTTGTGTATCGACTGTAACAATAAATCCGCTGTGCTTAAACCCAGGGAGTGATCCTGGTTCTTTGCAGCTAACAGTATTTATGGAATTTTAAAAAGTAGGTTTCCCAAAGTTCTCATAGAACATTTAATAAAGAAAAGCCCAAAGCTAACAATGAAACAAGACAAGAAAAGTTTTGATCCTGTGACTGGTGAAACCACACTCGTAGATTAAGACTGAAGGCGAATTACTGTTCCTTCACCAGAGAAACTTTGCACAGTTACAGATACAAGATAATCCAATAATTTGATACAATTAGGATGTGATAAGCATCAGGCACACCTTCCCTAGCCATGTATTCAACTTGAGTGCCCGATCAAATGTGAAGGGAATGCTAATATGCCATTAGGTAGTGTGTATTTAAGAAACTATATCCCCCTTCTTGGCAATAAATGATAAAACGCTCTAGAAAAAGCTTTTGTATCACAGTGTATTGCATTGCCCAAAGTGTTGTGTTTTCTATGGAAGGCAGTTTCTGCATTTAGTGGCAACTTTTCAAATAGTTAGTCATCAAACATTGTTTTGCGTAGGGATATATGTGTGAGCTCCCTGAATCAGGATAGATTCAAACAAGGGAATACGAATCTGCTTCCTTTGGTTAATATATGCAAACCAAAGAACAGAATATAAAGGATGCGGAAATGTTGCTTTGCAAAGGGAAGGCAAGTTATAAGGGCGGATTCTTGTATTCTAGGCAGTTAGCAAAAAAGTTGCTTGCTTTAGCTATTTACAAGTGGGACTGGTTACTGACATTTGCACATGTTATGTGCAGACTAGCAATGCTCGTACACCATGAGCAGGAATATACAATGCCATTCCTACCCCCCTTTTTTCTGGTCCTTCCCTTCTTTTATCCCATTTCCCCCACCATTTAACCCATTTTTAAGAACTCTGTCCATAACAAGTGCAGTGAATCACTTAACATCTGTCGCCAGAAAGTTCATAAAATGGGGCAAAACTCACTTGACAAACCTTTCACTTATCCTTAGAAATTTTTAGCTCAGTTGTGGTCGTAAGTCGAGGACTACCTGTGTATAGGTTTGGGAAGGGCAAATTAGATACGTTTGCAGGTGAACAAGAGCTTCAGTAACAACAGGGTCTAGCGCCTTTAGTTCTTTGAAATAAACCAATAGTTCTGCAGTGCCGTAATTTAGATTGGCCTGTCTGTTGCTTGAAACAAAGTACAGTCTAGTAGTGCCTTATACAGTACACGAATCTCTGTCGGGGGCCCCAATGTAGCTTACGGTGAAGAAATATTGACAAAATAGTCTAAAGAGCAAACACTTTGACATTTGTAATGTCCACTGGAAGACCTTGTGTATATTTATCCTGGAAGAATCAGAGCAGAATATCAATTTTTTTTTTTTTACCAGTTTTACAGCTGGGCTGTTCTGTTTTTCTTACTCAATGTCAAAAAGTCTTTGCAACGGACATGAAGTCCTAGAGAAGTCGATTATCCATTTTTCCCATAATGCTTTTCTATCTGTAAATTAATTGTTTACTAACTGGATGCCCCCGGTTCTGCCTTAAGAAATCTTATTTTCCAAATTTCCAAATGCCATAAGGATAGTTTTTATAACTGTAAATTGAAAAGCATTTTGCACAAGCGAAAATATTTTTTTTCCCCTTTTGTCCCACTAACAGGTGAAGTTGGAAGGCATTTTCAACATTTTTTTTAATTCTATAGAGTCCATCCTGAATTTTTCTATTCATGGGCTCCAATTTAACCAGGAAAATTATAAAATAAATTCCAGAATTATATCTAAACTCACATCTAGAATGTATATAGCATGTTTAATTCTTTGGAATGTCTTCCTTTCTTCCTTTTATAATTTTTTTTGTTAAACCATTTTATCTAACTGCCCATCTCACAAACAAGCAACTCTAGATGGTGTATGACAGAACTAAAAACAATTAAAAAGTACATTAGAAAGTATTAAAAACAGGTTTGTATATACTTATAAAACAGTACAGTACAAGTGTGTGTACATACTGTTGCATCAACAAAGTTAAAAAATTTATATCTTCAGTTCAGCATATTTTTTTTATTCCATAATTCTCTCAGGGTAAGAGCAAATGTTATTTATAAGTTGCCTAGCCTACAGAACTAAGAATTGTGGCCTGTAAGATCCTGTTAATTAGAGGGTTGATCAACTGACAAAAATTTGAGAAGCTTACTTACTTATTTGAGTATAATTTCAACACTAAGCCCAATGCTCAGTTTAGTATCTGCATCGCTAAACAGCTCCTGCAATGAATGCAAGCTTTTAATTTTCTAATAAGTCAGGAAGATCTTTTTTTCATTCTTGTTGCTTTGTGGGATTTATTGTTTCTCTTGTTGATGGTTTTTATGTTTTATTAAAGATTGGGTTGGGAAAAAAAATCTAATGAGCAAAAAAGAAAATTCTGGCTTAATTTAAATTGTGAATCTGTCTGTTAAGAAATACATTAGGGGTAGAAGCAGCATAAGACATATTAATTGACAGACAGGAACTGCTGTCTCTGAGGTTGATACAAGTAATTTATTACTTTAGAAATGAATGCCACCTCCAGAATGTGCTTCATTAATTTCAAATTTAGTTTTAATTTCAAGCTGTTGCCCCTTGAGAAGAATAAGGTGGCAAATTATGTTTGAAGAGCAGATTTTTTTCCCCTTCCCCTCTTCCTCTTGCTTGGAAGAAATGCTAAATTTTGACTGTTCAATTTTAATAAACAAATGCAATTCTTTGACTGAAACATGCCAGCTGCTGATAGAAATGGAGACTAGCTATCACTAACTGTGTTTTATTATCTGTTCTCTCTCTGTCTCTGCTAGCTTATGTTTCGGATGAGCTGAAAGCTGCAGCCATGGTGGATGATGACTTGGAACCAGAGGAGACCACAATGGATGGAGAACCTTCTGCAAAGTACGCCTGTCCAGAAAAGGACTTTGGCAAAAATTGCCAGAGCTATCAGAACTCTCCAGTGGCTGAATTTTCCAGCCATGAAATGGACAGCGAGTCCCATATCAGTGAAACGAGTGATCGAATGGCCGATTTTGAGAGTGGCTCCATCAAAAATGAGGAGGACAGCAAAGAGGTTTCCATAGCGCTGGAAGAATCTGTGGTGTCGGACAGTTTGGAGCAGATGAAGGCCGTCTACAATAACTTCCTCTCCAATTCCTATTGGTCCAACCTGAATTTGAATCTCCACCAGCCGGCCGTTGAAAAAACCAATGGCAGCAGTAGCAGTAGCAGCAGCAGCAGCAGCAGCTGTGGCAGTGGGAGCTTCGATTGGCATCAGACCGCCATGGCCAAAACATTACAACAAGTTTCGCAAAACAGAATTCTTCCTGAGCCCAGCCTTTTTAGCACAGTTCAGTTGTACAGGCAGAGCAGTAAACTTTATGGCTCCATCTTTACCGGAGCCAGCAAATTCCGCTGTAAAGACTGTAGCGCAGCCTATGATACTTTGGTGGAATTAACGGTGCACATGAACGAAACGGGGCATTATCGAGACGACAACCACGAAACAGATAACAACAACCCCAAACGATGGTCTAAGCCTCGTAAACGCTCCTTGCTTGAAATGGAAGGGAAAGAAGACGCCCAGAAAGTATTAAAGTGCATGTACTGTGGCCATTCCTTTGAATCGCTTCAAGACTTGAGTGTGCATATGATAAAAACAAAACATTACCAAAAAGTGCCTCTGAAGGAACCCGTAACCCCTGTAGCAGCAAAAATAATCCCGGCCACTCGAAAAAAAACCTCGCTGGAATTAGAACTGCCAAGCTCTCCAGATTCTACTGGTGGGACCCCCAAAGGAACTCTTCCCGATGTCAATGACCCTCTTCAAAAGAATTCCAATCCTTACATTACACCGAATAACCGCTATGGACACCAGAACGGTGCCAGCTATGCCTGGCATTTTGAAGCAAGGAAATCTCAAATCCTCAAGTGCATGGAGTGCGGCAGTTCCCACGACACCTTGCAGGAGCTCACGGCCCACATGATGGTGACAGGACACTTTATTAAAGTCACCAACTCTGCCATGAAGAAAGGGAAGACCATTATAGAGTCCCCGGTCACGCCTACCATCACGACTTTGCTTGACGAGAAAGTACAGTCTGTGCCTCTTGCGGCCACAACCTTCACCTCTCCTTCCAACATGCCATCCAGCATCTCCCCAAAGTTAAACATGGAAGTCAAGAAAGAAGTTGAGAAGGACAGAACAATTGCTGATGAAAAGGTGAAAGACAAAGAAAAACTAAGTGAAGATGAGGAAAAATATGATATCTCCTCCAAATATCATTACCTGACAGAAAATGACTTGGAAGAAAGCCCAAAAGGAGGACTAGATATTTTAAAGTCATTAGAAAACACGGTCACTTCAGCTATTAACAAAGCCCAGAATGGTACACCAAGCTGGGGTGGATACCCCAGTATTCATGCCGCTTATCAGCTGCCCAACATGATGAAATTATCCCTAGGATCATCAGTAAAGAACACTACTTTGAAGCCCATGTTTGGAAATACTGAATTAGTCTCTCCCACGAAAAGCCAGCCCCTGATTTCACCTCCCAGTAGCCAAACATCCCCTGTGTCCAAAACAAATTTTCATGCCATGGAAGAGTTGGTGAAGAAAGTCACCGAGAAAGTGGCCAAAGTGGAAGAAAAACTGAAGGAACCGGAAGTGGGGAAGCTTTCGCCCATGAAGAGAGCCACCCCTTCACCGTGCAGCAGTGAGGTCAGTGATCCCCTCAAGATGGACACTTCCAGTGACATTGGGTTCAAAAGCCACCAGAACAGTCCAGTTTCTCAGAAGGAGGGCTGCAGAGACAGCCCAATTGGAGAACCGATGGAAAACGGTAAGGAGATTGTCAAGAAAATCACAAATACTTTGACCAGCAGCGCAGCTATTATTACTGACCATCCTCCAGAGCAACCCTTTGTAAATCCATTAAGTGCATTACAATCTGTCATGAACATTCATCTTGGGAAGGCAGCAAAACCTTCCCTTCCTGCCCTAGACCCCATGAGCATGCTTTTTAAAATGAGCAACAGCTTAGCAGAAAAGGCTGCTGTAGCAACGCCGCCCTTACAGCCCAAAAAACCTGATCACTTAGACCGTTATTTTTACCATGTCAATAACGACCAGCCCATCGATTTGACGAAAGGCAAGAGTGACAAAAGCTGCTCTTTGGGTTCAGTGCTTTTGTCATCCACATCAGCGTCTTCAGCATCTTCTTCATCTACAGTGACAACCGCAAAGACATCTGCAGTTGTGTCATTTATGTCAAACTCGCCGCTACGCGAGAATGCCTTGTCAGATATCTCGGATATGCTCAAGAACCTGACAGAAAGTCACACATCAAAATCTTCCACACCTTCCAGCCTCTCCGAGAAGTCTGACATTGACGGCACTACAATTGAGGAACCGGAAGAAACAACTCCAGCTCAGAAAAGGAAGGGACGCCAGTCAAACTGGAATCCTCAACATTTACTCATCCTGCAAGCCCAATTTGCTGCCAGTTTGCAGCAGACGTCGGAAGGCAAATACATTATGTCGGACTTGAGCCCTCAAGAGAGAATGCACATTTCCAGGTTTACGGGACTGTCAATGACCACCATTAGCCACTGGTTGGCCAATGTGAAATACCAACTCCGAAGGACAGGGGGGACAAAATTCCTTAAAAATTTAGACACCGGGCACCCGGTGTTCTTTTGTAACGATTGTGCTTCTCAAATCAGAACTCCTTCAACGTACATCAGCCACCTTGAGTCACATCTAGGTTTCAGATTACGAGACTTGTCCAAACTCTCGAGCGAGCAGATTAACAATCAGATAGCACAAAGCAAGCCATCCTCTGAGAAACTGTTGGCACCTTCACCAGAGGAAGAGCTGGGAACTTCCTACCAATGTAAACTTTGCAACAGGACTTTTGCAAGCAAGCATGCTGTTAAGCTTCATCTCAGTAAAACGCACGGGAAGTCTCCGGAGGACCATCTTCTCTACGTCTGTGAATTAGAAAAACAGTAGCGTTAACTTTTTCTTTCTTTCTTTTTAACAGACAAGCTACCCAAACAACTGTACTTGGCTTTGAGGAAAATTGTCAGACATGCTGTTGAGTTTCTCCTTTGCCCTCTTACCCACCCCTGTTCTTGGCACATAATTGTTATTTTAACTCCGGGGTGTCACTCTAACTCTGGACGACTCTTTTTTATATATAACTGTATAGTGTTTAATAGAGGTACATAATCAGCTGTTGTTACTGGTAAAATATGAAGGTTAAAAACTCAGTGGTAAGTGTTTGGAACTTTGTGTAAATTGGGGTTTTTAGTTGCTGTGCATCACTGTTGATGCCTCAAGCTGCATGCATTGACAAGACAGTTTACTTAAGCATTTATTAACTAAAATCATGGTACACTCTTTTCATGGCGAATGAAGTGTGCTGGCTGTTTCTCACCTGTAAATCTTTAGCCCTCTGAGTACTTTGAAGCACTTTTGCATTAATTTGGTTTCCTTTTTTGAAAAAAAAAATATAGACATGTTTTCTTCTGGTTTTTTTTTTTTTTTAAATCCCATTCTGGCTTAGAATTTATTTTTCTGGTCAAGGCAACAAGCCTGAACAAAAAAGTATTAGCAGCCAGTCATGGTATCATGTGATGCTTGAAAGGACACCTTCCCCTTGAGATGTTGCAAGAACTGTCACCGCTTTGACCCGTGGACCAAATTGAGCAGCAGATTGGTGGCTGTTCTTGAGATATCCCAAATGGGGATGGATAAACCATACAGTTCCAGACTGTCAGTCCTTCTTCCATGGCACACCAGTCCAGATGTTCTAAAAAAGAACCAGTAGTTTTCTGGAAGAAGAACTTCCAGAAGAGGAAATGACTCATGATGAGCCTAATAGTTTCCTTGTCTAGGAAACCAACTTATAGAACGCTATTGGACCATTCCACTATTGGATGATAGAGATGGTGTTCCCTATGAACCATTCTCTTCCTAAGGGAACTTTTTTAACATCCCCACCTTGTTTCAATGCTGCCAATATTTATTATACATGCTTTACAAGTTGCATTAGCTCATCCTACTGTTTCTTCCATTGGTCCCCATGGTCAACATCGGGGGGGGGGGGTGTCTTCTGAGACTAGAATGTGGCCTTTTCTGAAGGCTTTTTGAGTGTGTCTCTCACCCCCTCTTCAGCTCTACATTCCAATTAACCAGGTTTCACCAGTGAATTCAGGGTGCAGGAAGAGTTGAATCTGCTGCAGATTTCCAAGTAAGTTAAAACCTGGGATTTAACCAAAGGGTTGAAGAGGATCTGAACACATTGGCTTTTTTTTTAGTCAAATTTGCTTCCTCCTTGCCTCTCCCATTTGTCCCTCAGGCACATCATAGAATCCTGATTTGGCCACTGAACTACCAGAGGTTTGTGGGTTCATAGTCAACATAGACTGACCAACCTTTCCATTTGACTTCCTGCATGGATGGATGGTTGGGTTAGTGACTCACCAGGAAAGCTTGACTTTCAATAAGTTTGCAGCCTTTGTATCTGATCAAACAGATGAATTTGAGATCTGGTTTCTAAGATCCATACCTGGATATGTTCTTTGTTGGAATTAATAATCCTCTGTCTATGCAGGGGTGTGGCACCCATCTTGAAATTTGAAAATATATAATTTTCACATTGAAATGTGTGTATATATTGTACAGATTTCAGAATCCACTAATGAAAAAAAAATGTGATTGTGGACAATGCCATTTCTTCTTTGACATTTTTATCAATGATGGGTTTTCTACCTAATATGCTCTTGAGTCTAAGTGGTACCTATAAATATATAAATATATATGTATAAATATATAAAATAATAATGTATATTTCTTTTCTAGGTCAAAGGGTTTTCTTTTAACATCTGAACAATGTAAATTATATGAAAGATACAACAGATAGCATTTATAAAGTATTCAGAAACATTATTCTTGAAGCAAAGTATGATTATTGTTTTGTTTTGTTTGCTATACAGTACATCTATATTGATAGAGGTTCATGTTTAAATTATACATATTTATTCGTTATTTGCTACTTTTTTTAAAAAAAGAACATTCTGATGGACTGGCGTGCATTAGAACTATTTTGCACAACACAAATTTTAAAGGTATTTATTAGTAAAATAATAAAAAAAAATTAAACAATAATTAATTACAGAGAAAGTTCAAAATCAACTCAGTGCTCAAAGGGTTAAATCTATTTGGGGTGGAAGAATTGGAGGGGAGACAAATCTTGTACTGTATTTCCTAAAGATTGATAAAAAAAAAGAGCCTTTAAAACGTTTATACTGTAATACTTTGCTGAAAAGTTATGAGGCATTCTGTGATATAACCTTTTAGTTATTTATAAGACTCTTGGTTGTTATTTCATATCTAGAATGCCTTCTGTCTCATTTTCTTTCTTTCTCTCTCTCTCTCTCTTTTCAGTTGGTAACTTTCTGTTTTGTTCCTCCTAATTATTCTCCCAAGATTTCCTACTGCAGTTTTATCTTTAAGCATATAAAAGGTAACCCGTGGTTACCAGCCCACTAAGTGATTCTGTTCGTCTCCATTTTTGGCGGTTAATTTGCAGAAGTAACTGACAGCTGACACCATATGAAAATCTATGTGTACAATATTGGCATGTAAACAGCACAGACCCCAAACTGCACACTCTGTGCCCTGTTCTGTTGTTGACAATGTGGCACCATGATATGACTCTTCATATAACCTTTTTTTTTTCTACAGCCGCATTAAAATTGTCTTTTTTGCTATAATGTTGTGTCGCATTCACAATTATATCTGAAATGTGCTACGACTAATGAGCACATTAAAATTAAATTGTACGCTTGCTGTTTATGACGGAAACTTGGGGAAGTTTTTTTTTTTTTCCCGTCTGCCAGGTGCTGGCAGACAAAAATTCTACATAAATCACTGGAGTTTTTGTGAACTTTAGCATTTAAAGAGCAGAGGGACAAATATTCAAAGGCTGAATTAAAAAAAAATCATTTCCACCTCTCTACCGTTATTGAATGAAGTGGAGAGTACATCTTTTCCTTTTTCTTTTGAGTGCAAAGAACAAAGGTTATAAGCAGTGTCAGTGATGAAACAAACAATGCCATGTACGTGTTAATATCCAAAAGCCAGAGTGTCTTTTAAACAGATTATTACAATTCTATGATTTCATTTTATCTTCATTAACATGTGCAAATGGCAATCTTCCTGGATCTTCAGTGGTTAAGGTAGGCAAGGAGGAGGAGGAAAGAAAGAAAGAAAGAAAGAAAGAAAGAAAGAAAGAAAGAAAGAA